CAAAACAAAACAACAGCTCTGCTTCATGGATTTCTCTCTCTGAAATTCATTTCTTCACTGAAGGTGAATCCCATTTTGGCCAGATGGGAGGCTCCTGTATGCAAAGTGACCTCTTCCTGCTGGAGTGGATGAGGAAGTCAAGCTATGTTATTGTAGTGAAATGAGACCCCTACCCCTAAATGATCCAACACAACCTCCTGGTAGAGGAGGCACCTGCCTAGAACCCCCACCCGCCCACTGGGCTGGGGGCATGGCTCAGCGGTAGAGTATCTGTCTAGAATCCCCCAGTGAGGGGCTGGGGTATGGCTCAGTGATAGAGCACTTGCCTTTGATGCTTGATGCCTAGGTTCAATCCCCAGTAGTGCCAAAAAACTAATAAATGAATAATTAGGGGATTTTGTTGCTACTATTGTTTTGTGACTTTTTTGATTTTGTTTTATTTGTTTTTGTTTTTTGAGACAGTATTTCTCAGTGTAGCCCTGGCTATCCTGGAACTCATTCTGTAGACTTGGCTAGCCTTGAACTCACAAAGATCTGCTTCCCAATTGCTGGAATTAAAGGCCCACACCACCACTGCCTGGCTTTATCCTGCTTCCTTATCTCACCCAATCCACCTGCCCAGGTATAGCATCATCCTTAGTGGGCTGTGCCTTCCCAAATCAGTCAAGAAAATACCCCACAGCCTCAACAGTCTGATGTAGGCAATTCCTCAGTTGAGGTTCCATCTTCCCAGACAACTTTAGCTTGTGAGAAGTTGACAAAACCAGAAAACTACCAGCACAGGGCACCTGCTACATAAACCTGGCAACCTGAATTGGGTTCTCAGAAGCCATGAAGAGATGGAAAGAGAGACTCCACAAAACTGTCCTCTGACCCCCATATACCCATGACTGGAACATACTCATAATTTTTTTTTTGAGATAGGATTTCTCTGTGTAGCCCTGGCTATCCTGGAAAGCACCAGGCTGGCTTTTGCCTCCTGAGTGCTGGGATTAAAGGCGTGCACTAACACCACTTGGCCTCATAATAAATTTGGGGTTTTTTGATAAATAATAATTTTTAATTAAAAAATAAGGTGATTGAGGAAAATGCCCAGTGTTATCCTCTGGCCTCCATAAGCGTGTATCCAGGCACACAGGTGAATTTACACCTCATGTGCACATGAGCATTTACATGTACCACAAACATACACACATGAAAGGAAGGAAGGGAGGAAGGAAGAAAAGATAATCCTTACCCAGATGGAGA